TTCATGGTTATAACTGATATGTTTTGGCTTATCTTTGTTGTTTTATCTTTCTGTACTCCGTTCCCTGCTTTATCCCCCTGTTTAGTTGCTTGCCAGGCATGGTGGTTTACTTCTGTTGTTGTTCTTGGAACTGTGGTTATTTTTGTCTCTCATTGGAATGTCATTCCATACTGTTTGTAGGGTTGAATTTCTTCAGATTTTCTTTGCCATGGAAGTATTTTATTTCTTGATTAATTTTGAAAGACATCCCTGCAGGGTACCTCAATCTGGATTGGAACTTGTTTCAGGATTTGAAATACTTTATTCCAAGCTCCTCTCGATTTGAGGGTTTATGTTGACAAGTCTGCTATGATTTTGGTGAGTTTTCCGTTATAGGTGATCTGTTTTTTTTTTTTTTTTTTTTTTTTTTCTTTCTGTGACAGCTTTTTGATATTCTGTTCTTGTGCTGAATTTCTGGAATTTTGATGATTATATGCTCTGTTGATATTTGGGAGCAGCTTTTTAATTTTCTGGGAATCTGTTTGAATCATGTGCAGCACTCTATCCTTTTCTATATTGATCTTTCATGGTTTTCCTCATTTTCTTATCATCCTCTACTTGTTTTTTATAAAAAACTATCTCTACTCTAGAATTACTATTTCCTTTCTGATTATTGTCATTTCTTTTTTTTTTTTTTAACCTTAGAAATTATTTCTTATCAGATTTCCTCTATAGCCTCCTGGATTTGTTTCTTCACTTTGGTTGCTATCAATTCAGAAAAGCCAGGTGCATGTCTTACATTTTCCTCTGTCTCATCTCCTGAACTTGTTCTGAGTGGGTTGGAGCTTCTGAGATTGTATTTTGCTTTTGCAACTCATCATTTTCTGTAAATCAAAGTTTTTAGATTCCAGGTGTGAGTGACATCCTGCAGTATTTGTCTTCCAGTGCGCGGATTACTTCACTGAATTCAGTGATATCTGATCCAATCATGTTGTTACGATTGACAGATTTCATTCATTCATGTATGGATGGATATATATATATATATATATTCTCTCTCTCTCTCTCTCTCTCTCTCTCTCTCTCTCTCTCTCTCTCTCTCGACAGGGCTTTGCGTGTAGTTCGGTTGGGTCTTGAATTCACTATGTAGTCCAAGTTGGCTTATACCTTGCAGTGATCTTCCTGTGTTAGCATCTCAGATGGTGGAATTTTTGGTGTGCACTGTCACACCTGGAAAAAAATGTCATTATTTTGTGTGACCAAATACATTGCTTACATTACCGCATTTGAATGGGTTCACCAGTTGATGGACACATAGTTTGTTCTCTTTCTTTGTTATTGTAACTAACTGAAATGAACATGCAACTGAAAAGACATGGGCTGTCTCTTGGATTTCAATTTTTTTCTAAATGCTGATTTTAATCCTTTTGCGTATCTGCTCAGGTGGGAAATCAGTGAATCTTATATGATAGGTTATTTTGAACTTAGGAAAACTATACTCCTCTTCATAATATCTACAATATTTTACATTTTTATCAACGGTGTGCAAGGATTCTTTCTTTTCTATACACTGTCGTGCACCTGTTATCTTTTGTCTTTTCCATAACAGCCATTTTTACTGAGATGAGGTAATATGTTTTGTACATTTCATTTGGTTTTTCTGATATTTAATGTTGCATTATTTTTCACATAACTGTTAGCTATTTATATTTTTTGCAAAGTATCTACTCAGTTCTAGCAGCATTTTTTCTTGTATTGGCAATTGAACTCATGACCTTGTGCTTGCCAGGCAGGCGCGGTGCCTCTGAGCTGTATACCCAGCCCTGTAGTGTCTATTTTGAAAATCAGATTACTCATATCTCTACAATTGAGTTCTCAGCTTCCATATATACTTGTCAGATGTATAGCTCACAAATATTTTCTTAAATCGCATTTGAAATTGCATCACTATCTTGACTACTGTCTTGGATAAGCAGTAGCTTTTGAGTTTGATGGTATCTTGTTTGTCTATCCTGGCTTTTGTTTTCTATGCTTGTAGGTTCTTTTTTCAAAAAGTCCTTAAATGCCCCAGTGTCATGAGGTCTGTTATTTATTTTTAGTAGTTCCGTAGTTTCTTGTCCTACATTCTAATTCTCAGTAAATATTGACATTTATAAATAATGAGAAATAGAGTTCTAGTTTCATTGTTGTGAACATAGATAACCAAATTTCCTGCATTATTTGTTGAAAAGACTATTCTTTCACTAACGTCTAGTGTAAACTCTTAGTAACTTTATTAAAATTTAGTTAAAAAATGTTTACTTTTACATTCTCTATCCTGATGTGCCTTTATTCTTTGAGTCTGATTTCATCAATACAATTTTATTATTACAGGTTTTCTGTATATTTTGAAACAAAGTAGTTCTTTCTCTGGTAATTTAGCCTAAGATGACTTTGGCTAAAAATTTTTTCTGGTTTTGCATAAATTTTAAAATTGCTTTGGGGGCTGGGGATTTAGCTCAGCAGCAGCATAAAGTGCCTGCCTTGCAAGCAGGCAGTCGTGAGTTCGATCCCTGGTACTGATAAAAACGAAAAAGACAAAAAAAATTGCTTTGACTAGTTCTGTAAATATGTTCATGACAGTTTGATAGGAATTAGACTGATCTATAAATTCCCAGGTAGAATAGATACTTCCAATCCATAAACATGGGATGGTTTTTTATTTTTTGTTTCCTTTACAGTTTATTTCATCAAAGTCATGTAATTTAAAAATAGTGATGCTTTGCCTCTTCAGGTAAATGTTTTCCCAAGTACTTTAACTTTTGTAGCTATTGTAAATGTAATTAATTTATTGATTTTGCTTTCATATAATACTTAATAATATGTAGCAGCATTATTTTGTATGTTGATTTTTTACCCTGCAAGTTTTCTAAAATTTTACTTGTAACTGTATTTTATATATTATTTAGGTCTTTTTACATAGAAGGGCATCGATATCTACAAACAGTTTTTAACATTTGTGAAAATTCGACTCTCTTCTTTTTCCAATTTGGAAGTCTTGCTTTCTTCTCTTACCTGTATGCTTTGGTTAAAACTTGTAGTATGATACTGAGTAAAAGTGGTATATTTTTGGCACATTTTTGTGTCCTGATGTTACAGGCATATTTAAATTTATGCCAATTTGATATATTTTTAGTTGTTTCATAACTAAATATTTCTTTGTATTAAGGCACATTTTCTACACCTAATTATTGCAGAATGTTTAATCATGACAGGCTTTTTAAACTGATCAAATATCTTTTCTGTTTATTTTTTCTTCCTTTCCTTCCATCAATATGGTGTATAACATAGCTGAATTATTCTTATATTCCTGGGACGAAATTCAATACATCATTCTGTATAAATTTTAGTGTGCTCTCGATCTGGTTTACTAGCTTTATTTTTTTAATTTTTGAATTCATGGTTATCAAGAGTGTCTGCCTTGTACTTTTTTTTTCTTTTTTCCATTTTATTTTCTTCTTTCTTTCTTTCTTTCTTTCTTTCTTTCTTTCTTTCTTCTTCTCTTTCTTTCTTTCTTTCTTTCTTTCTTTCTTTCTTTCTTTCTTTTCTTTGCTCTCTCTCTCTTTCCTTCCTTCTTTCCTATCTATTTGTCTGTCAGTTTGTCTGTCTTTTCCCCTTCCCTTCCTCTTTTTCTATGTTGTATACCTATCTAGTTTCAGTATCAGGGTAATGTTGGTCACATAGAATGTTTATTGAAAAATTCCTCCTGTTACATTTTTGAATAAGATAACAAACCTGGTGTGGGCTGATCTTCAACTATTTGGCAGAGCAAAGCACAGAAGCCTTCTGATTGTGGATATTTCTCTGATAAGAGGCTTCTTCATTATTGATTCAGTCTACCACTTTTGAAAAGTCTGCTCAGGTTTTCTGTTTCTTCATTATTAGATCTTGTTAGTGTATACATGTTTAAGGATTTGTCCATCATTATAAATTTCAAATTTGTTTGTAAGTAGTTGATCACAACAATTTCTAATGATACTTTTTATTTCTCTGATACAATTGTAATATATCTATTTCTTGTTTGATTTTGTGTATTTCAGTCTCCTGTTTCTTTTCGTACTCACACTTATTGTCACTTTTTATTAACTTTCAAGAAGCAGGGCTTGAATCCATTGTTCCCTTTTTATTAGTGTGTTTCTGCATGGCATCATGAATCCATCCATGGCAGGGAGTTGGTGCATATCTTTTTGCATTATTTTTGTGTCTCTAGTTCACGGAGCACTTGTTGGTTGTTTATTATCTTTGAGTAACTCAGGCTTTTTATCTAGTTCTATGAAATGTAATAATGGGCTGGGTTTTTTTTTTTTTTTTTTGATGTATCATGTACTTGTATAATTCTCAAAGACTTTTCCTTCTGTTTCTAATTTTCCCACTGTAACTGGAGAAGATACTTTGCATAATTTCAAATTGTAGAGGTTTTCTAAGACTTTTCCCTTGCCTTTTGTATGATTTATCATGAAGAATGATCCGTGCACTGTGGAGAAGTGTATCTACCACGCAGCTCAGACAAGAATGGTCTGCAGAGCTCCATTTAGTCCTCTGATCTGTGCTGTCACTTACCTTTGTTGTTTCTCTGTTGATATTCGGGAGCAGTCGCCTGTCCACTGCCAAAGGTGGAAGGCTAAAGTCTATAATTGAGAGTCCCCCCAACACAGATTACCACTGCATCTGTTTTGACCATCGAGTGAGTTCACGGTTCCCTGAAATTTTTGTCTGCCTCTCGATGGGCTATGTCATCTGGGTTTTGAAGGATAAATACCTACTCCAGCGTCCCTAACCCAGCTCTGTCGGTGGGAGACTGTTTCCAGGCAGTTCAAGGAGGCGGCTCCTAATTTCTCTCAGCCCAGCATCGCAGATTTCAGCATTTTGCGGTTCTGTGGTCGAGTGGAGCCAATCTGTCATTGGTGCGTTGCCACCGTTTCGGCACTAGAGGGCAATGAAGCTCCAGGTTATTCCAAATGCAATAACTGCGTTATTGTGAGCTGCAAGACCCCAGGAGAGTCCACCAAGGAGAATTTCCCCGGGCCAGGTTAGTCCCAGATGACTTTTCCACAGTCACTGGCCCGTGATCAGGTACGGCAGGAGTCTCCCTGAATCTGGACAGAATCACCGTGCAGGTCCAGGCTCACCGCAAATACTGTCAAGCTCTATCACTGCTCGCAGCTCACCAAGATGATCGTGGACCCTGAAAAGGACAAAGGACACATTGCCCTGGACTTCCTACTGCCGAGGTGGACTTGGGACCCAAGATCACTGCAGCCAGTCAGAGCCGATGCTAGCTGGAACAGACGCCGCCAAGACTAGGACCAGGGTCGCACGTGGCTTCTGGCAGCAGGACTGTTTTGCAGGGCTCATTTGTAAGCAAACCTGGGGGTGGGGTGCTTAGGGCCTGCCCATGGGCGGTGCTCATAGCTCCTGCACCGCACTCGAGGCGAAGATGCTGCATTTACAGCTCCATTTTACCCAAGAGAATGATCATGCTCATGCATTGCCTGAGACTGGGGTAGATTTGCAAAGGCTCGCCCTTGGCCACTTTCGCTGACACCAAGCTGCCCCACATCCGAATCTCAGACCTGCTGGGCCTTGTACCTTCTTAGGAATGCCGTCAGGCTGCAGCTGCAGCACATGTGGATTAGTGTGAGCCTACACCCTCTGCCTAGCGCTGTGATGATGGGACTCAGAACGCGAGGAGCTGTGCTGAGTGGGGAAAAGGGATGGGTGCGGTCAGTGTCTAGGCCCCAAGTCTCATGCTGTGTGGATCAAGACAGAAAGTCACAGCCATGGGAAACTGATAATCTCGGGGAGGGCACTGCAGGGCCACTCAAGCTTGACAGATACAGACTGAAATCCGAGTTTGTTCCGCTGTTTGCTTGTAAAGGCACTGCTTGGTTCCAGAATGGGGCTCGGGTCTCCTGCTGGGATCTCTGGCTTGCTTATGGAGCATCCGGCTTGCGCTTGATGCTGACCACACTGTGACGGGCCAGGACCTGAGCTCCCAGACAAAATCTCCTCTTAGTTTTATGCCCTGCTCTCTGGGGGATGGAATTTTACTTCTTTTGCTGACAAAGTCCAGAGCTGGATAGAGGAAGCAGTCTCTTCTCAGCCTGGAGAGCACGGTTCCAAAGCTGAGTCGATGTGCCATGGGCCCCTGGCAGCCGTCGTGGTGCCTTGCCCGGCCCTAGGTTTTCCATGGTGAGTCTCATCCTGGGCTTCAAGTCTAAGACCTGGATTTTATTATTCTTCTCTTCCAAGGGTGGCAGAGGTCTCTCTGTCTCCATGCTAAGTTCTGGGGGTTGGAGGAGATGGAAGGGCCCTTCACTTTTTCAATGCTTTTTCATTTTGGTTGTATTAAAGACAGATCCCGGGATCACTCGTTCAGTTTTTTTCATTCGTGTGCAATGGCTAGTGTGTGACCAGCGGCTCATCTCGGAGTGTGTCCATGCAGCAACACTGTCAGAGGGTCTCAGTCAGCTGCTGTCTTCCTCTGCTGGAGTGCTTTTGTTTTGAGGATGCTTTTCAGTGTAACTGTCCCTCTCAGAACCACAGCAGAATGACTGAAAACTTCATCCCTGGAGTCCAATTGACTGGATTTAAACTCTTGCCCCAAATTTACCATTGCTCATCTTTGCCTTATTTATCTTCTTTGATTTGTCTACAGTTTGGGGTGACAGCATCCACGATGAAGAAGCAGATGTATTTTACACGAAGGGCTTCATTCAAGGCAGGACACATAACAAGTATGTGTTCATCTTAGAGTTTCCTTTTTGTTCTTTCAGAAGCATCCCCACATTCTATGCTGTACCCCAGATGCTCGTAAGATAACCATGCAGTATCTTAAAACCACAGTGCCTAATGCTGATTTGGGCTCTGTAGTTTTAAATGATGACATGATACACGCTTAGCTACCTGGCTATTGGGTTTAGACAGATGTGTTTATGTTTTCCAACTTTGCTATTGGAAATGGTACGTCATGATGTCCAGGGAAAATCCTAAAATTCAGGGACCTTCTGGAAAAGTGAATTACTGTTGTTTCAAGAAACGGAAGACTAAAGCGAAACATAAACTCTGAAAGATAAGGAGTAAAAACAAACCATCAAGATTTACTAGTGCAGACTGAATGACCATAAATAAGTGTAAGAGTTAGTTTCAGGATATATAAGGTGACGGGAAAGAAACTGATTTAAATAATAAAGCTGATGGAAATAGGAGTGAGGAGAGAAATTATTAATATTGACGGCACAGCTATTACTTGCTGTTGTTTTCACACACAGCGGTTCATATTAATATTTCAATAGTCTTGTAGATCTACAAATATAATTCTGCACTGTAGCAATCGGTGAGAGAGGTTGCGTGAACCATCGTTGAATGACTGGGACTGTATCACAGACTTCTGTGACTACACAGCCCGCTGAGAGTGCAGGTGGGAAAAATGTTTGCTTTGAGCTACAGGATTAAAATTGTCGTGACTGCAGCTTCTAGGGAGGCAACTGTTTTTAAAGAGTGGGTGGAAAAACAGTTTAAGAACAAAGGATCTTGGGTATTAAATACTGAAGTTTTCGCAAGTAATGCTGGTCCTGTCAGAAAAGCGATGTGGATACATAGAGGCTGCATGCATTCATAGAATTTTTTGGGATGCAAATACGCACAGAAGGAATGCTTAAGGGATTATGAAGGGAGAAGCAGGATAAATGTTAATGAGGTGTGTGCATTTATATTTGTAGGAAAGAATGGAAATCTCGGAAATAAGTTACAGGAATATTCTCAGTAGAGAACAGAATGTCGAAAGCACACTGTTGTGGAAAGCTAGGATGTATCCTCAGAACTAAAAGAACATTGGTATTAAAAGATGAAAAAAGAAACCATAATTATCAGAAGTCAGTGGTTAGACAATTGATGGAGTTATTGAATAAGTTTAATTCACGAATGATATTGGCTAAAAATGTGAAGTAATTATACACACGAGTATCAAATATGTACTTAGAATATGTTAATTTCAATATCCTTCAATGATTATTTTCAATTTTATTTTTATGCAACGTAATGATCTGGCTTGCATAATGAATACTAGTTATGAGACAGTTTAAGGTGGAACGAATCATCATCTACTGGATAGTTTGAGAAATTGTCTGGTGACTTACATGTTCCTCAGTGTTTCTGATCAGTAGAGCCTGACCCCTTGCTACCCAAGCCGCTGGGTGGATGGGGAGGGCGTTTGTATGAAAGTGGAGTTCTAACTAGAGGGAGAGAAGTGTAAATATGGAAAAAAAAATGACTCCAGTAAACTTATCCATTGTCTTTCACCTGATTTTGCCTAAAACCTGCCCTATCCCTTGGCTTCTTAGTTATTTCTTTCTATTTATTTGCTTTTTTTTCTACTGGGAATTGAACTGATGACTGTGTGCTTGCAAGGCAGGTGCTTATGCTGCTGAGCTAAATCCACAGCCCCTTTTATTTGCTTTTACCTACGAAATCTGAGTTGTATTTTCTATCTGTGGATTCCAAATTGAGGCAAAGGAGGGCGAAGCGATGGAGAGCTTACTGGATAAAAGGGAGTTACTGGCTCTTCAGGGCGGGAGCTGTAAGAGCCGCATACTTAAGACCTCAGATTCCTGCTGCCCAGAAACTTTACAGGCTTTGAGAGACCTTCCATGCACCCCACCTCCAGTGTGTGCAACAGCTTAGGGAACATTAATATTTGCATCTGTTTGTGTTCCCAGAGAGATGGAGGTGCAGCATTTTCACCGGTGTTTCAACAAAATCTGTGATCTGTAAATTTGAAAGGAAAATTAATCACTTGGCCTTTTGGCCAAGATCAAGTGTAAGGAAAATTAAGTGCATACAGCATTAAATTCAAACACACGCTCTTTGGGATAATGAGCTTTCTCTATTTACAGGATTACTGAAGGCAGTTTCAAAAATTATGACAATAAAATTTGAATGCTAGGGGGCTGTGTAATAGCATTTTTCCATTTTTAGCTTAAATTCAAAGCAAGATTCTTTGAAATGCATTTATTTTTGTTCTGAGATATAAGATATGCAGGTGTAATTAACTTCAGATCATTATAAATCAATTATCCCTGAGATTAAGAGAGCGCTGACACTTGTAGTGACATTTTCATCATCGGCTTTTGACAGAGACACGTATACACACTTTTTAAAATAGCAGCAAATTAGAGATCCAGTGGAGAAGTTTGATATATGGTAATCTTTTCAGAACAAATTTAAGCTTGTTCTAAAAATATTTCATAAAGGTATAAAACATGGTTTGCATGATTACTGTGACTTTCTCTGATTTTCTACCTAAATAATTTATGCCACAGTAATTTCCATGGAACAAATATGCCAACATTTTATCTTAATATTTTTGTTTTCACAGAACTCTTTTGCTTATGAATTTTAATCACCAAGCAACCTAATTTTGTTGACTAGTGGTATGCGAAGGTTTGTATTAATGATATTTTACACATTGCTGTTTTACAATACATATTTTCACCACAGGAAAAAAAGGATATTTGATTAGAGAATTCAAATTTACAGAATGATAGAGAAACAAAATTTAGAGGTAAAGAGAAATAACATTTTGGAATGAGGTTGTCCTTTTTGTGTTGCAAATTCTACTCAAATTCAAATCACTAAACCTTGAGTGATTTCTTTTGGTTTGCATATATATATATATATATATATATATATATATATATATATATATTAGCATATTCCCCTGACATGAACATAACTGGCTAGTAGGGTCTGTTTAATGTGGCAGGAGAGGCTGCTCCCTGAAGCTGCTGATTTCTTGTGTGGTGCGCCCACCTACTGGATTAAGCATTGCCAACTGAAGAGTGGCGTGCCTCAGGGTGTGTGGCTGAGGTGTCCAGAGAGCACTAGTGGTCAGCCAGCAGGTGGAGGGGCAGCACCCATCCTGACTTCGCTTCGAACCGTCTTGCAGCCTGGATGAAGTGAAGCCTGCTTTGGGAAGTCTCCATGCCGCTTGCTGCACGTGTTTTGGCTGCTGCCAGTGCCTGTGAACACGCACTCGGAGTTCTCCAGCCTTTTAAGGATCCCGACCAGAGACTCAAGGGAGCTTCCAGGTCTTCAGCCTTGGACTGTCGCTACATCATTGAAACCCCTTGTTCTGATGCTTCTGGCTTTTCCTACTAAGCAGCTCCTGGAAACTCTGGGTCAGCAGGGTGCCATCATGCACCATAGGCAGTCCCACCACTAATTCTACGAGCTATCTAATAAATATGCTTGCATTATTCCATAAGTATTTTATTGTTTCAATTCCTGAGAATTCAATTCCTCTACAATGTGTGGACTGTAAGTCTCCTTTCTTAGTCCTTCATTTATAGGCATGCAGGTATTACTCAATTTGATGGGAGCTAATAAATGAAAATGACTCAAAATCTTTCAAAGTACATTGACAAAATTTCTACTTTCTATAGGAATAAGTATATTCTGGAGAAAGAGATGGCATTTTTCTTTCTTATTTTGCTTTGTTTTAGGTAGAGTCTTGAGAACTGTAATGGCTGATACATTGTGCCAACTTGAGAAGTTCAGAAGTTTAACCAAGTGACTCACCAGTTCTATATCCTAGGGTATAGAAGACATGCCCTAGGGCAGCTGCTTATGCTCTAGGATGTTGTAATGGTTGATTGATTGTGTGAATTGGAGAAGTTTAGAAGTTAAGGGATTCAGCAGGGAGCTTGGGTACTCATTTTGTAAACATACTGAGTCTGTGCAAGAGGAGGGCAAGAAGATGGTGTGAATGCTACACCCACTGAGTGTAACTTGCATACAATGTAAGGGAAGAAAAGAGGCTTTCTCTCCCAGTTCCACATTTTTTCATTTTTTATATCTTCTACCACCATGAACTGTTGCCCCTCTGCCATGCTGCCTTGCCTTGGCCCCAGCTAATTATAGACTGAACCCTCCACAAACTATTAGCTGAATAAATCTTTCCTTCCTTAACTGAGTGTTGGGTATTTTGCCTCAGTAATGTGAGAAAAGTGACTAAGACCAGAACTAAGCATATATTTATTCCTAGAGAAAAAAATAATTGAAGTGAATTAATAAATATAGGATGATTATTCTGCAATTTTACATAGTTAAATTTGACTTTTGCAAAAGACAGAATCAATCTGATTCTTGAAGTCTGACATTTTTTCCTTTAAGGTCCTGGAAAAGGTGAAGTAATGGATCTTTCACACTCATTATGACTCTAATGAATTTCTTCCAAATAGCCCATTGCTGTAGCTTCTACAATTCTGGCCATAGTTCAGTAGACCTGGAAAGGTTACAAAATGAAAAGGAAGGTGAAGAGCATCATGAATGCATGCAGGAAGAGGGCTGTTAGTAATTCATTGGTTCATTTAGATTCTTATGGATCATGGATTTCCACGGTAACTAATGTTTCTTCCATGGATTAGAGAACATATAATTTAGAGGTGTTCAGATTGTCTCCATTTCTTGAAATTAAATGAATGCAAATAGTAATCATGGCTATATTTTGCTATGTTTTGTGATAATGTAATACAGTGGAGTATTCCAGAAAGTTGTGGTCTCCATTAAAGAAAGCACTAAAATGATTCTGGCTCAATACTTAATACCTAGTTGGTGCTCACTATATATTTATAAAAGGAATGCAGTAAGTGACTGTGTGCAGGTGCAGAAGTACAACAAGGAATTAGAAACAAGGAAGCAAAGAACTAAATACTTTTACTCAGTAAACTAATATGAAATCAACTTTGGATAACAGGCACACACTAAAACTTTCAAAATCAACATTTGTAGGTCACTAACTGCATTAAAGAGTGAAAGAAAATTGGATGTAGAATTGGAAGCATTGCTTAGAGATTTCCTAAGAATTGAATATAAAAGGTTCTAGAATAAAAGACAGGAATGGGAATATTACTACTTTCCTTCCTTAATATTTGTAACTTGGTTTCTTGGTGGTTATAAGTGAATAAAAAGTCATATTTTAAGAACATGGTATGCAAATATGATTATTTTTACATATGATTACTGTGATTATAGAATAAATGGTGGCATCTTAACAAAAGCTGTAATGGAAACTCTAGACTCCACTGTGATGGCATTTGGGATGGGGCCTGCAGAGGCACACCGGAACATTAGATTGGAGTTCAGTGATGACTAACATCCTTGTAAAAGGGCACACAAAAAGTTTCCTTCGGCTTCTGTCACTCTCAGTGCCTTGTGAAGGATGCAACCTGTAAGAGGGCTCTCATCAGAAACTGCAGCCCAGGCTTCACCCTTCAGAACTAGGAGAAGTACATGTAACTTTATTATCTTAAATGTTCTTCACATCATCTTTTGTTATCTAAATGATCTTTATAAAGCAGCCCAAACTAATTAGGGCAAAATTTATTTCAATATGTAAAGCTTTATCGTGATTTTGACTTTTGAAATTATGAGATATGTAAGCAGTTGTGAAAGTTTGAGGATAGGAACATATTTGGTATAGAGTAAAGGATTCAACATTATTCCAGATGTTCTTAATATAACACATGGACAAGGGAGATTTTTATTCTGAAACACTTCCTATTATTTTAAACTGTACATTATTTTATATTAAGTCTGTATGCGCATTACACTTTGAAACCTATTTATTTTTTAGGATTATTTTTGGTAATAGCAGACAAGTTTCATGCCACCCCCAGTGCTGATATTTTAAACTACCAATAATGTTGGCAGGATTTGATCCTCTGAGTAGGCTGATAATTTGTTTTAAAATCAAAGATGATTTTCCTAGAATCTCAATTATTATTATTTTTCTTTGCCTTTGAAACTTGAAGCATAAAAGTCTGTTTCAGAATTAATTTGTTTCTATGTGTTTGGTTTATAATTGTTATACGTATGAAAATTGCTTGCAGTTAACAGCTATTATTTTATTTCTTTTAATTTGTGAAACTAAATTAAATGTTGGTCCTTATTGAGTCCATAGATCATGGACTCATATGGTGCAAATGATCTGTAAAGTTTGGAGTGAGAGAATCACATGCTTTAAACACCTCTATTACCATTACATTTCTTTGACTCTTTAAGTTTCCAAAATAATTGTTGTAACATATACACACAAGCATTGTAGAGTCAGTATTAATTCTTTTTTCATAAATATACTTGGAATAGAGTTAAAAACATTTTGCTATTGATCACTAACCAAGTTAAACAATATTGCAAAGCTCTTAGGTATGGCGCCCCAGTATCAAGAGCAACCTCTCTGAATTGAATTATCTTCTAGACAAGAGTATTAAAAACTGGAACAATTTTAGGGTAGACATATTGGGAACTGCAAAAATACTTTACCTTGATTTAAATGAGGTTTACATTGTGTTGTAGTTAGGGGTTGTGCAGAGAACAATTAGAATCAGGACATGGAGATTATAATATTATTTTTATAATGGCCACTGGGAGTTAACACAGAAAATCTATCCACAACACCAAAGACATAGATTATTTAGTCAAGGCCTAAATCCCACAGCAGTGTCTCACATGAGTCCAAATGAAAGCCCAGAGCTCATGACAATGCCTCTCACGAGTCCAACTGGTGGTCCAGAGCCCACAAGAAGGACTCATGCCAGTCTCTTTATGAATCCGTGCCATGAAGGCCCAAAGGTCAGTAGTGGAAGCCAGAAAGTCCATGCCAGCAGGGTGAAGGAGCTGTGCTGGTGGGTTGAGGATTCTATGCAGGAGCCGAGAAGTCGCACTCAGAACAAGACCAGGACTGTCCTGAAAAGCACCACAGCCATCCTCAGCGACACGGAGGCCCTGAGCTCCTAATCTGACAAGCAAAGTCGAGTACCTGCCAGGAAGCCAGCATGAGGAGTTCATCCTGGAGACCAAGCAGCACACGTCTTCCCCTCCAGAGGCAGGGAGCAATGCTCGACGTGAGGACCAAAGCCTCTCCAGGAGAACCAATGGCTCAAACAGCAACTCGTAGGAGAACCCACAGTGCCTCAATGTGATAACGCAATAACACTTTCTCCTTCTCCACCTCTCTATTTATGCTGGCAACTTTCCTCAGGTGGGACATCTACACTCAGTGCCACGCTGATGTAATCCAGCTGGCGTTAAGTTGACCACCAGTTCTTAATCCATAAAACATTGAAATTTTGGTTTCAGCTAACAGTGTGAAAATTATTTTCTGCCCTTCATCTTCCCTCACTTTTTAAGCTCATGTTGTGTGACAGAAAATTCATTTAAGTTAAATCCAAGATTTCTGGGAAAGGAAAGATGGATTCATCCCATCTAATGTTTCAAAGATTTCCTTTGGGGTAGAAATTAAACAAATTAAATGGACTAGAACCAGGAGGGAAAAAAGAAAAGTAGGAAAACAAGAAAACAAAAACAAAAAAGAAAAGACATCATCAGTAAGACTATTTGGCTTTTCCCCAGGCAATTATAACTACATAAGCTGATAGCTAGGAAAACAGCATAAAAATGAATCATGAATACAGCACTGGTGTCACTAATTTAACACCACACTGAAGACAAGCGGATGTGCAAAGCTTGACAACCTCTTTATGTTTAGTTGTTAACAATATCTCCTGTCTTTACTGTAAAATGTTAACATTTCCTTTGTGTAATAGATGTACCATCTACTGCCCTCCCTTCCCTTAGACCAGATAGACAATGTGCGAACACCTTGAGCTAAACTTATATCTTTGTAATACAGTGAGGAAAAAGAAAGAGAAACACAGCTTTATTTAGGCTTGAGATATATGAAGCAGTTCAAATCCCAAATTGAAGAGCTGATAGCACTAGCACGGTGGCTAAGAATGCAAACTTGACAATTAGGCTACTTGACTGCTTATTGCTGCACTAATAACTACTTGTTGTATGGCCTTAGAATTGATGACTGTCTTTGTTTCTCAGTTTCCTCTTCTGTGAAAGATTAATAGTGGCAACTACTTCCTTATGGTTATTATACTACATTAGTTAATGTATATAAAGAGTTTATAAATATATTCATCACATGGTAATGGCTATGAAAATGCAAGCTATTATTTCTATCATTATAATCTAATGGGTAGAACATACATTTCTGGGAATCTATACGATAAAGTGAGATGAGCCTATTAATTTGATATATGATTTATCTAATGGAAACATATGCCTTTATTTTTAAACCTTGTTTCTAAGGGAAATAATAGCTGTTCTTTTAAAAGCAAAACACTTAGGTTATGAAGGATGCTGTAGTACTATACTCACCCCAAAGGCTCAGAATCTAACCTCCAGGCACCAAGGGTATTCTACAGAGCCATTTACATGGGCCATCTGGAGCTGGCATCTGCATCCCAGATTTATGATTTAGAGCCCTAGGAGGTTTTTAAGAGCTCTAAACCCACAGTTTTTTTTCACTAAAGTCAATTTACTTTAGGATGTTATCGCAGTTTAATTATCCTCTTTCAGTTTTTTTTTTCCTGAGCAAATTAGATGTTTTTGTTTTTAATGACTTAATTGTTTTAAAGATTAACTTCTTTATTATAAACACTTGCAACATAAAGCATCACAGTGAAATGTTCCATGATGTATATTTGAGAACTCAGGAGACACGGTCTTCTTAGGATAGTTTCTGTATTCATCTGGAGGTGAGAAACAGGAGTCTTTTTCCAAATTCTTCAAGTAGAAGCCATCTGTATATCCAGGGTTGGCTTGCACAGCTAAGATCTTCATGGAAGTATGGCATTGGGATGGCAGGGTCTCAGAGCCATGACAAGCAGAGAAAAAGATCACTAGAGAGTAAGGGACAACACCAAGAACAACTTAGTTCCTGATTTTTAGTAGAAAAACTTATCTAAATAATTAAATGATCATAAAATTGAAATAACATACAATAAAGCAAGTGAATGGGAATTAGAAGCCAAATAAAATTATGTGCCAAGAGTGTTTCAAAGAGTAATTCAATTTTGAAAGAGAATATTTCCAATACAGAGCAAAGTAGATACAGAGCTGTTAAATCCCAGGCTCCATGAAAGACTAGAGAAGCCCATTTTATCTAAGTACCCCCTTGCCTTGCCTTGTTAGCTTAATTTCAGTCTCTTTCTAACCTTTGTGTCAGACTGCTATGCTGATATTGTTTTAAAATTACTTTATATCTTTTTCATCGAAAAGAAAACTAGTGCTACTCAAGAATAAGCCCAGATTGTTCTAGGCACAGAACTTCTAATGTCTGGTCAGTGCCCCTTCTTCAGTGTGCACAATATATATGAACATATTGAAAGTTTTACTGTAGAAGACAAAGATAAAAAATGAACAGTAACATGAAAGACAACTTGCAAGCAGGTAATATTTGTGTAATAAGTATAACATCTACTGCCTTCCCTTCCTAAAGGAACAGATTGACATCCCTTTAGAGACAAGAGAATTTACCTTTCTTGAATAAGAAGCCTTTGAAAAAGAATAGTAAGAAATAAGAAGATCAAAATTAGAATTAAAATAGTATAAATTACAAACTCAAATAATGAGCTGTAGATTTAGCTAAGTGGCATAAGTGCCTGCCTGGCAAGTGCTAAATTGTGAGTTCGAGCTCTGGTACCAAAAACAAAAAACAACAGCAACAATTAAAAAAAAAAAAAAAAAAAACCAAAACTCAGATAATTACAACATACCTTGAGAAACTCCTAGAACCATCTTAGAAATTTAAATAAAGATGCAATAATCAGTGCTGTATGCATTTCCCCAAAAATAAGATTCCTGGGAAGAGAACACAGAAAATAGAGAAGACTAAATCTTAGTGATAAATTAAGAGACTCCCTTATACTTGTAGAATACGTGTTTGTGGAGTAGATCAGCCCTTTGCATACCCAACACTGCATGTGAAATCACAAGTTTGCAGTGAAATGTCAAAATGGTGGGGAAAGGCAGATTTAATAAGTTTGCCCAGATCGCAATAAAATGAATCACTCGCCAAAAGTAAAGAATGAAAACCATTAGAAACAACATCAGGTGATCACTTTGAGGTTAA